AACACATTCTCATTTTTTAAATTTGATTTATTTTTTAATTTATGCATTAAAATCTCTAGATTCACTCATTAAAGCATAACATCCAAATGTAAAAACATTTTCATTTCACACCTACCTTTGCTACTGGTGTGTTCAATGAAGAAAATCTATTTCATTGAAACCTTAAATCTGAGAGTCTGGGAGAAGATAAATAATACAATCTCTCACTGCTAAGCATTTAGATGGTTCAGTAACTGTTTTTTTAACTATATATTATCATGGTTTAAAAAAAGGGTCACTAAAGGAAAACAAACTTGCATCAATAGTATAAATATAAACTCAGCGTCCATTGTGCTCAAACCCATTGTTTGTCTTTCTTAACTGAGCCATGTATTTATGCAAAAAACTCTACTTACCTGAGATTACAGACACCCTGGGTATTAGACAAAATATCTGTTAAAAAATAATATAGTAAAACCAAAACCAACCAAGTAGCAAAAAGTAGGAATAACCTTAAGATCCCCTTTAACAGCTCTTGTATATTACAGAACAATTGAATGTAATACCAATAATGGCCGCTAGGTGGTTTATAGAAAAGACCCATACATTTGAGGTCAGTAAAGGCTGCCCCTCAAAACAGCATGGGTTAAAATAATCATGTTGTAAAATAATAATAAATGATTTATTTACATTTTCAAGAATCTGCACTTTTTTAAACTAAAGTCAGGGAATGGCTCCTAATTGAAGAGGTTTTATCCTTTTATCCTTGCTGAATAAAACAACTAAAAAACCTCATACCAAACTGACAACAATGCCAAGCATAAACGTGCCTGGCATAAACTCATCAGGCCCATGAAACTTTGTTTTATTCTTGTATCCAAAACTGGCTCTTGAACACAAGTCAAAACTTCAAATCACTCTGCATGAGCAAACTCCCAGAAATCACAGCAGGTGTGTCGATTTAAAGAACAAAAAATGTGAAAGTCGGTGTGTGGGGAAAATGTTTAGTGTAGCTAAAAGGAATATCCTGATGAAATCGCTTATTTCCATATTTTATAAATCATGTTTTTAAGTTCAAACTGGAAGATTAAATATTTAAAATTTTGATTAAATCTCTATCTGGGGTTCAGCAAAATTGTGCAACTACTACTTGGACAATTACAATTAACATACGGGGTTTTGTATGATTGTTTTATTTTTATTTTTTAGAGATTTTTACTGTAAAAAAAAATGCTTCTTTTTATGGCAGATGTTTTGAAAATAACATTAGTGTGTGTAATTGGTTTAAACCAGTTCATGGATGAATTTATTTTTAATTAATTAACCACAGAATATTTTTTTTTATATAAAACAACTTAAAAAGATATATTTTATATAGAATTGGAACATGAGAATAGGCAAGAAAAAAGTACCATGGCTACGTAGTATCATTATGTGAGCAGCTTTATTTATTGTACATTTCAGCTGGCCTAAAAAGTCAAGGAAACTTGATTATCAGTTACCTACAGCATTTCAATTACTCAATTCCTATAAAACATTTCTGAATCAACAAAACAACACTGTGACTGTAAAATTGTGTCTGTTTTCAAGATCTACACATTTTGTGTAAATAAATTAACACTGTTATTTTTTTTTTTCTCTAAAAATACTGAAAGTTGCTTATTGTATGTTATCAATTATTGGAGAAAAAAAACCTGCTGTATTTACAGGGTTTTTAAATAGGTTTGGTCTTGTTTGTGTTTTATTTTTGCCTAACTTAAATAATCAAAATTACTATTCAAACGTTTCTTCCAGTCAATGAAAATTCACATAAAAACAGTACTGTTGTCAAAAA